TCTGAAGGCGAACTCCAGAGAGGTCATTCGTAGATTGAAACGAACGAATGAGATAACAAGGCAATTAGTGAACCTAGATCTGGGTCCTCCGAGTAGTTAGTGAACCCAGAATCATGAACATCAAGTGGAGCCACCGGATATGTGAGAGCTCCTGTGATAGTGTGAAAACGTGTTACAGACGTTGCGCGCAACTGAATGCGTCGGCGACGTGCCAAGCGGCTCAAGGTAAACGCAAGGCGACAGGTCCGCGTAATGATGCAGCACTATACCGAGGCGCCATGAAAGCAGCAGGCCCACAGCACCACCGGAATGAGTTCGAAACACGCGTTCGCCGTCCTTCCTCCCCGCACAAAGTACACATCCGCCGTTCCCGAAACGTACAACACGACTGCTACCATTCCCCGAATCATCCAACATTACTTCTTCTTTCCCTTCTTCTTCCCACCTCCGCCTCCCCCAGCAGCAGAAGAGGGCACGTTCTCGACGGCAGGCGTGAAACCCTGCGTCGCGCCTCCCCCGGCACGCTTCTTTCCCCGGGGAGGTACATACGAGCTACGTTCCGTCTTCTTGAGCCATCTTTCTGGATCAGGTGCCGGGCTAACACCCGGCGTGATGCCTTTCGGTACACGCTTCGTGCGTACGGTGCGTTTGGGTGCTGTTGTCGGTGCGGGTGCAGTAGCAGCAGCTGGAATGGCGGAACTGGATGCCGAAGGAAGAGCGGGCGGCGGCGCGGATTCCAGAGCTGAAGTTATAGCGGAAGGAAGGGCATCGAGTGCACCGGCGTAAGAAGACGTCACAAAGTCCAAGTGCGCGTGTGCGGCACGGGCGTTAGTCGTGATGTCGGCGTGCTCGTCCGTGCCAGGCTCTGCACTGTCGAGCAACGAGTTGTACAGATCATAAGCCGCGCCGTATTCGCCTTGCCTATAGCTCTGCAGAAGTTGATCGCATGTCAATCACTATTACACGAATAGCATAAATGAAAGGAGCCATACCAATTGAGCCTCGAGATGCTGCACGCCACGGTCGTCGGGCCGAGCTGCCATGAGCTCATCGAGTGCAGTGTCCGCATCCTCCTCGCGCTGAAGACGGTAGAGGCAATAGGCGCGCTCGTATGCGACGTCCTGACCCTCTGGTGCATGATCGAGCAGATCTAGAGCTTGAGCGTATTTGTCCGTCTGGAGCAATAGAAATAGTTTGGTCTGGCGTGCATCCGAGTCGTTCGGGTCCAGAGCGAGAACTGTACAGTGATAAGCCACGGTATATTTTTAGCATAGAGTAGAGAATCACGTTTGTCGGTCGTCTTGAGTGCATTAGGGAAATGGGCGCCATCGAGCTGCTTGACGAGCGTCGCATACAGCTTCTTGGCCTTGTCCGCTTCACTCAGTACTTTCTTCGGCGGTCCAGTCCGTTTGCGGTCTTTCGGTTGCGCAGGCCTAGAGGCTGGCACGGTACGCGGTTTCTTGGGTGCCATGATGGAGGTCAAGTCTAAGTAAGACTTTGATGAGATGAGTCCAAGAAAGGAAGTGACGCGCGCCGAGTCGCGTCTTGCAACCCTCCGCCATCATGTCCGCAGAGTACGACTATTTCCTTTTATATACAGCACCGTAACTAAAGTACAATCTGTTCAGAGAAGTCGCCACAAAATCTCCCGAGCCTGCCGACGCCCCAATGGACGCTGCGCCAGCCGAGGCTCCCTCCGCCGCCAGCGAACGCCGCCGCCCGCGTCTAAACCTCGCCGCCGCATTAGGCGGTGGTGAACGCAAGCGCGGCAAATCCATGTTTGGTCTCGTTCTCGGCACGCTCAATAAAGCGAAGGACGAGGATAAAGCTCGTGCTTCGTCGGACGCTGCAAGAAAACGTCAAGAAATTGACGCGAGGTTGCAGAAGAAGCTGAGGAGGGAGACGGAGAGCGTTAGGAAGGCGGAGGATGCGAAGAGGGATAGGCTTGTGGCCAGTAGGAAGGAGGAGGACTTGCAATTAAGAGATTCAATTGTAAGGTTTATTCCCCTTTCTTTACTTGTGCGAACGCTAATGTATTGTGAATAGGCAAAGCTCAGACGTGTGCGTCGACCGCAACTCGCCAATTTCCTCTCTACCACGGACGATATTCCCGGCGCCGGCCGTGCACCTTCAGTCTTCCCACCACGAGCGGCACCCGCACCGATATACTACCTCCCTGCCATCCTCCTCCCCGCACAAGAAGAGTTCATTGCAAAAAGGAAAGAAGAAGATACCGCTTCTGCTGAGCAGGAGTGGGCCGCGTGGAAAGAGGAGAGGACGCAAGGTGTACAAGAGATCGCGGCGTTGAGGGCCAAGGTGGCAGAGTTCGACGAGAGCACGAAGGTGGCGAAGAAGGGCGACGCGGACGAGGCTATGGCTGTGACGGAGGAGAAAGTCGAGGAGGGTGTAAGAGAGAGGGTTCAGGCGGACGAGGACGCCCAGATGGACGTCGACGATGGCGCGAAGGAGCCTGTCAAGGAGGAGGTCAAGAGCGAAGAGTCGCCTGCACCACCCCCTGCTCCGGCGTCTGCACCTGCGCCAGCACCGGCGGTACCGACGCAGCCGGATGAAGTAGATGCTGTTGAGTATTGAGTGTTTTGAAGGTAAGCAGCCTATCATCATTTGACCAGCTGTCGCCCTAACCACAAAATAGGCGTGTTTTAAGTAGTTTATGCTGTGTGGAGAAACGTTTGCTTGCTTTGTTTGTGAGTTTGGCTAAATGCATTCATTGTGCGAGGCTCACGCGTCACATTCAGATCATGTTATGAAGGTATGGTACCTTGGTAGCGTAGCTTTGAAACCCCAGTACAATCTCTGGTGCCATACACTTCCTTCCTTTGTAAGTATTATTTTCTAAACATACGCCTCTACGCTCGAACTAATACGTCGCCTTCTGCAGTTCACAATATTGTCTTCCTGAGCACGCCCAATGCTGAGTTGACTGGGCGCCTCATTGTACGCATCTCGACCCTTTCACATACCCTCTCCGTCTTACTCCATGTCATCCAGAGCTTGCTGAACAAGGTACACTCCCGTACGTTCTTTCACCTTTCCTTCACCTCTACTCCCTTGCTTTTACTTTGACCTGCTCGACTTGCCCGCAATCTTGTTAAACGCGTGATCTGAATGTATCTACCGCATGCATCCTCCTGCTATCGCAATTCTACTTGCATATATGCGTTCCATGCGAATCCAGCGCCTCGGAAATGGTCATGCGAGAGGAGTGCGGCACAGACGCCGGTGGATATGTTCTACAGTACATGGACCTCACAGTCGTAACTGTTTGCGGACGATCCCTCCTTTCCTGGCTCGCATCTCGTGCCTCGCATCGTCGAAGCTTCACTGCCATACTGCCACGCCAAATCGTACAAAGACGGTCACATTAACCTTCGACACGTCCAGGAGGCAGGATAGCTGGAACCCGCATCTAGTACACATCGTGACCACGTGTCCTTGTTCCCTGCGGTGAGAGATCAAATTCTTCGCGGGCTTTAGCTTCGGCCACAGCTCAAACCATGTTAGCAGGTGCCCAGCGAGCGCCAGAAGATCTTACTCAGCAGATGCGGTACGATAGACATCACTCAACCACCCACGGTCAAAGTCGCAGCGCTCCTTACTAAAGCCGAAACGTCGGATATTGCACCCAACAACCGGTGTTAAGCTGACAGTTCGGGATACTAACCGAATATACGCTACATAAGCCAGGAGAAGTTTACGAGTGCATGAAGATTCGACAGCGACGGTTATAAAGGGGGGAAGACTTCACATGTGCTAGATCAAGAACCGCTCTTCCTTTTCTCGTCGCGCCCTACTGCAATGCCCGAGCCCTTCATCCTCTACGATATCCCTCGCCAGCTCCGCGATGGCGAGACCGAGGCCGATATGAGCTGGTCGCCGAACGTGTTCAAGACTAGGTCAGTACCCTTATGCTCTCAAGCCCGGCCGAACGTTACTGACTTCCACCGATACAGCGCGGCTTTGAACGTCAAGGGTATCCCTTTCAAGCGCGTCTGGATCGACTTCAAAGATGTGGCCGACGTCATCAGCAAGCTCGGCGCTGAACCGCATGAGCAGGGGAACCTCAAGTACACCTGTCCAGTCATATACGACCCATCGACCAAACGGACCATCATGGACTCCCAGAAGATCGTGCGTTCCGTTTGCTAGCAAAGGGCCACAAGTTTTCTGACGAACGCGAATAGCTCGAGTATCTCGAGAAGCAGTACCCCCAGAAGCCCAGCCTGTTCCCGCCGCATACACGCGCGCTACAGGTCGCCTTCATCGACAACATCATGCCACGGGTATACATGAACGTCGCGCCTACACTCACATTCGACCTCTACGGCCTGGTGCTCGAAGATTCAAAGCAATACTTCCGTGACGCGCGCGCGAAGGACTTTGGAATTCCTCTCGAGCAACTCGTATCGCACGGCGACGCGCGCGTGAAGAACCTCGCAGCCTTCAAGTCGTTGCTGGAGGACGTGCTGAAGTGGATGGCCGCCAACGGAGAGAACGCGCGATACGTGACTGGTGAAGTCCCTTCTAACGCAGACCTGTTTTTCGGTGGCGTATTGGTCTTCATCAAGAGGATCGGTGGCAAGGAGCACGATCTGTTCAAGCTGATTGGAGAAGCGGGCAACGGACAGCTTCTCAAGTATGTCGAGGACATGGAGCGTCTTGCCTAGTTTCGTTTCAAGATATGTTATCTATACAACAGAAACCATTCGTAGTAGATTGTTCCTAAAAATGAAGGTCTGAACATGGTTGTTGAAGGCAAGGCGATGGCGCGCCTTGCGTGCCATGGCCGACACTGAAAGGCTACTTGCATACACCGCGCCAGGGAAGGAATCGAAACGACTGCAAGTGGGAATTGAACCCCGGATACGCGGCCGATACCAATTTTTCAAAAAGTGTACTGCTCAATTTTTGTGTCTGCGAGCTGGGAATTGAACCTTTCAAACTGTCAACATGCAGCCGAAGCATAAGAAGTGCGCAAAAAGGGGCTCAACCGGGAATTGAACCCGGGACCTCCTGCAATCGATTGGATGAACCACCCAAAGCAGGAATCATGCGACTAGACCATTGAGCCGATATAAGGATGTAAATACAGGTTGATATGTAACGTATACCGCCTCAAATGATCCTCACCCCAGCGGGTTACTTAACACATGGACTCCTATGTAGTAGACGAAGTCGATCGTCTGATTCCAACCATCCTGGAATCTCAAAGATCGCACTGTTTGATGGAGCTCGATACCGCGCTGATGTCAGTTTGAGACATGCCGACGCGCATTACCGCAAGCCCGTTCAAATGAATCGTATTTCGCACCCACACGCGTCCACAACACCTTCGTCCTACCGCCATGCTGGTACGATCAACATCTGCGGTGTTTTCAAAGCCTCCTCGTTGACTTCTTTGAACTCGCATCACGAGTATACTTATGCGCCTCCGTGCATCCGCGTTATCGCTGAGTTGACGACCGGATCAAGCGCCTCCGCCCTACAACATGAGGCTTTGGGGTGGCCATAAGCAGGACCTGGACAATTGCCCCATCGTAGCTTGATTCTAACCATCATCCTTTCAATGGCCCCCACTCTGTCTAGCTCTCCTTCACTCGAGTCCGTAGACTCGAACTTCATTGAGACTGCGCCAGCATCTCCTTCCACGATGGGCTCTCCGTCGATTATAGCCCAAACGCCCATCACAGCGCAAAGCTCCTAAATGCACATGCGCAGAATCTCATGAGAAACCCGGGAATTCGCAAAGAATCCGCGTAGCATTCGACAATAATCCTATGTCGTAGAATCCTTTGCAAACCGTTCCGGAATGGAGCATGATACGAGAAGAATCCTGTGGCGTCGAAAAGAAGTACGGGACGGCGCACCAGCAGTATTCTTCGTCGATTCTTCGAATTTTTTGTCTATTTTCCGGTGCCGATCTGGTCGTCGGGTCATGCATCATACGATAGTTTGATGAATATACATTATGCGGACACAATAGATCATATTATTTTAATAGTAGGTAACTACGACATGCAAAACTGGAAGTACACTATGACATAGCGCAGACCTGTTCACCCCCTACTAGCCTTAGTATCAACGATTCGAGTAGTAGCTGCCATAACCTGCCCATCGAACTTCCCATGCCTGTGCTTCCGGACCTAGTCAAAGATGAGCATGTCGATCGGAGAAAAGGGGAAGCGAGACGTACTACCAGTACAGCTCTCGTTTGATACAAGTAGTGGGCATGCGGACAAGACGAGGGTCCTCCAGTTCAGAGCGCTCGGTAAGAGGCAAGTCGATGACATCGCTGCCGGGAAGGGCGCGGTGACTATACGAAGACGCGCGTTAGCAAACAAGCCTCTCGACGCGACATTCAACTGAGATGCTCACCTTCGTCAAGCTACAATAACCATTCCATTGCAGAGCAATAACTGCCCAATGGCGAGATTTGTCTAGTGTGGTCGTCAACAATGTGCCAGCAAACTGAGGAATGCTGGCGCACCTTGCGAGCAGGAAGCACCGCAATGCGCTGAACGCATGCGTGCATACGAGGATGAGATACGATTATAGAAGATATCCCTGCCGTGGAGAGGCCAGAGACGACGGGCGTCGAGTACTGATTTTCGCTAAGTCCACCAGCGAGAGTGACATGGTGGCGAGAGGCAAGCGCGACTGAGTGTTCGAACGCGCCGACAGGCGCGAACTCGCACCGCGCACCTGCCGCGCACGGACCATGGCTATTCACCACGACGGCGAAAAGTACGTGAATACAACTTTTTCATGTTTGTAAGGTCTATTCTACGACACAGAAAACCACAAAGTCTATTTCCCCCGCAATCCAAGAGTTCGCATGAAATTACCCGGCCTGAATTCTGCCACCAGGAATTCTATCCGCATTCGCCGCGGAATCAGGGATTCAGGCTTGAATTCGCCCCACGACATTCTGGGACTTTACGCTGTGCATGCTCTCTACAACTACGGAGGGGATCCCGTCAAACCAGGATATTGAATTTTGCCCTAAGCATCCGCGGTACTTCTTCAAGGATGGCTCGCTGACTTTGCTGGTGAGTGACTATGGTGCACCTCTAACTAGTACTGGTTTCCTGACAGGTCACCGATCACCATCTAGGTCGAAGGCATAGCTTACCGCGTGCATGCATCCATTCTCGCACTTCATTCTCCGATCTGGGAAGCGAAGCTAGGCGATGCCTTCCAGAATGACACTCCGGAAGAACTGAAAGATGTTACCACTGACGAGCTCGACGCGCTCTTATCCATCTTGTATCCTGTGTATGTACTTCACCTCGACTTATAACGGGGATATTGGTCTGACGTGGACGTGTAGCACGCACTGTCCGGCTAGTGGACCTCTTGTTACCACGGTCAAAGGATGGACCGCCGTTCTCAGGCTGTCCACACTCTGGGCATTCTCTGGCATCCGGGCCCTAGCTATCGAACACCTCTCTATTCTTGCTCAGCCATTAGAGAAGCTCATAATCAGCCAAGCGCACAACGTACCTGCATGGCGTCTTCCCGCTTATGTCGCGCTATGTTTGCGCAGCGAGGATCTATCTCTAGCAGAGGCGGAAACGCTTGTCATGCGAGACGTTGTTGCAATCTTCTCCGCTCGTGCGGCTGTCTTGAGGAACGAGATTTCCCCTACAGAATCCGTACTGACAGTTTTCATCACCAAACACGTTGGCGAAACGCTTTCCAGTCCTAACGAAGATATGGATGCCCAGCAGGGACCGTCTCCGTCTCCGGATGCTCTTGGCCCGTCGCCACAAAAGGATCATGAGATTACGACCACGTCGTTCGCTCCTGAAGAACACAAGACTCTCATCGCACACCTCTCAGCGAAGGAATATCATGCTGCTTTGCGAATGATAACTTCAGACACTGCTGACGACTTCGTCGGTCTCCTCAACGCTTCGAGTGATGTGCTCTCTACGAAGGACACCATGCAAGCCTTCGTATGGTCTATCTTTCATCTCTGCGCCATCGACTTCTCCTACTTTATGACCGGCATATGCGTGTTCCGTGCTCTCTTCCGAGCCCTTTCGTCAGCAGCTGTTGGATCGACCGTGACTACCACGACATTGGACAATATGCTCGCGCAGGACATCCGTGCATTACGCGAGACTTGGTCCCGCTATGAATCTATGCGGACCACAGTCTCCGATGCTTACTACTCATACGCCGAGCACCGAGACGCGATAGAGATCACTTCAAACACAGCTTCTGATGCTATCCTTGGAAATGAAGATAGGGAACTAGAAGATAATGACAATGAATCCCTGTATCGCGAAAGGACGTCGAACGCGAAGGAATTCATCCTTGCTCTCGTGCGAGCACATGTGTTGCGAGCGGATATCCTTACCCTCTAACCGTAAGCTCGTTGTTTCTAGAATAGTGACTTAATGTAGAGCTAACGCACTGTTTCATAGGTGCTTCGCAGTGCTTCCACAGGTGCCAGCGCCGTCCAGAACCTGCCGATGAAGCCCTCTGCAGAGTCTTGTTGTCTTGTACATCATCCTGTCTTGCAATATCTGTGTAATGTCCGTGAGCTTTCTGGACGATCCTGAGGTTATTCTTGAACACATGTTGTAGACGCAAGTCGGCAAGAGCAGAGCTTAAGTAGACGTATGCGAGTAAGCGCAAGCATGTCTGATCGAAGTGGTGCATCCATACACCACCCGTTGTAGGGAGGAGTCGAAAGAAGGCCTCGCCTTTGGGCGTCAATCGAGGCCAGGCGTATATAAACTACGTCGTGTCCTCGTCTTTACTTCCTCATCCAAGCCCTAATGCTCCTTCAGGTGCCTACTCCCACACTTTCCTACGACTCGGACGAAGGATGTGGCACGCCATCCTCGAGCATCTCTGACTTTAGTCTTGCCGATTACCCTCAGGCGCAGGCGCCTACCAAGTCTCCTCCCCTTGTCCTCGGCTTCGACGATGCGCTGTCTACTCTAAGCACCGCGTTTTGCGATGATGTCCGCCGCGAGGACGTCCCTGAACCGCCCCCAAAGAAGTGTCACCCCGTGTACTACTTCGAAGATGGCTCTCTCGAGCTGCTGGTGAGCGCCTTGTCGATAGCGTTGCCTCGTGTGGCACATGGGGCTCATCGCGCACACAGGCGGAGGACACGCACTACAACGTTCATCGCTCGATGATCAGGCGGCACGCACCCTCCTGGCTGACTACCCTCGATCGGTCCCCTGATGTGAAGACGCTCGCCGACGTATCCTGCGAAGAACTCGACGCCCTTTTAGCCATCCTTTACCCAGAGTAGGCCATCTTGGTCGTGTGCACCACAAACTCGCGTATCCTAACTTACGTTCTCCCTTAGATCATGCGCCCAATGGGGACTCGCCTCGCTCCAAGAATGGACCGCCGTCCTGCGCCTTGCTACGCTGTGGTCCTTCGCGACCACGCGTACCCTGGCTATCAGGGAGCTAGAGCCACTGGCGTCTGTGATCGACAAGCTCGTGCTCGCCCGTGCCCACGGAGTCGAACAATGGCTGCGTCCTGCCTTCGTTGAACTCTGTCTACGACCTGCGAAGCTCACTCGCGCCGAGGCCGCACGTCTGCAAGCTCGCCCGGACGACGTCGTGCTTGTTTTCACCATACGGGAGGAGATCAAAGATAGTCGCCTACCACGCGAGGAGGTCATCGTGGCCGAACGCGTCGATGCGTGGTTGATGGGAAGGGTCTTCGTGTTCCCCGTTCCGGATATCGCAAGCCAGACTCTTCCAAAGGCACCCACAACCTCAAGTGTCTCCTCCGATGCTCGAAAGGCACGGGCCGATGAACCATCTAGCGTGCCAGGTAATACACTGTCTAAGTAAGCAGCAGGCCAACCTCGTTGTATTATGATGGTCGATTAATACTCAGTGCTGCGTCCAGAGTGCCCAGTTCCTCGACGGAAAGTGTCGCGGCTCCGTCCGAACGTCTCGATGATTCGATCCAAGAGACGGCTGAGCATTTCGATGCGCTTCCTGTCACGACAACTCATCCGCCTTCCGACACAGTGGTACCCACAGCGCTGCCGAAAGATTCTCCTCTCATTGCCGCAACCCGAATCGC